CTACATATATTTAGAAGGCTATATTATCTCAGTAGGCGTACACTTTTGTATATAGGTAAGTTAGGCTAAATAGTCTTATTTTCATCCAAGGAACCTGTGGTCAAGCGTTGTCCATCCTTTTCAGGGACACCCTATATGTATTAATAAAGGTTCAAGGTTATTCCAAAGTTGATTTGAGAAAAAGGACTTCTGCTAGGGTCAGTGAGAGGCTATTTCAGACCCCTCTGTTTTCAACCGAAGCTAAAATTGTTGATACTAAAAATAGGTTTTTAAAATCATTCGAGTTTAAACAGAGCTATACAAAATTTAGGCAAGAGATCTTTTATCTCGAAAACTACTTATTTGACAGAAAAATGACCTGTAAAAATTGTAGGATTTCGCATGGTTCCATATCAGTAATATCTTGACCTAAAACTTGGCCAATCCTCCTTACCTTCGGTTCACTTAAGCTAATCGACACAAATCAAGTAGTGGATGACTAAAATAGTCACATAATTGGACCGTGGATTCAAACTCAGAGATCTCAAAAACGGTAATAGATTTCTCGTTTTTTTCTTGGTTTGATTAAATGACCTTGAAATAACCCTCAAATGACCTGATGCAGACAAACTGACCTCGGAAACGAACACAGCTATCCGTAAAACCTATATATAACAGGTGGTTAGACTTAATTGCTTGGTTTTTTCAATTTGACCCTGAAATGACCTTGAGACGACCTTTAAATAACCTGATACAGACAAACTAACCTCGGATTCTAATCCAGCGACCCCAAAATCTTGTTTGACAGGTGGTCGGATTTGATTGTTTGGCTTTTTCTCAGTTTAACTGTGAAATGACCTTGAAACAACCTTAAAATGGCTTGATATAAACGAACAAACCTTCGATTCGGACTGAGCGGTCCAAAAAACCTAGATTCCGAGATCCTTGGATGTAATGCACTTTTTCTCAATCTGACCTCTAATTGACCTTGATCCTGACTAGGTAGGAGGGTGGGGTCCCGTTTGAGATGAAATCGATTAGTTATTGGCTATAAAAAAATCTTTTTTTGGTCAAAAATAAAACCGGCCTAATAGACCTTCCTCTTTTGTTAACTTGTTAATTGTTAGTTATTTTGAAGATAATTTTATTTCGAAACGTGACACAAAAAATTGTGGCAGAATATCTTCAGACTTTCTTTTCATCACAAAATCGTGGCTGCAAAGTTTGTTACAACCAAAGTTCTACCTAAAATATACTGTGACTATGACAACTAAACTATAAATGAAACTTATAACATAAGTATGTTACTGATTAAACGTTTTACTAGTTCGTTTGTACAATTTAAAATACTAACAATAACTTTCTTAGTATATTCACTACAAGCAGCAAGCATGTAACTGAACATTAATAACTGGAACAGTTTTTTTATATAAATATTGTTTCAGTCATGATAACAGTTTAATTTAAATCATAGGTTCGTGTCAGGTAAACTTATTGTTTATATTACATATTTCCAATTACCTCATCTAATCATCTATAATATTATTTGTTGTTGTTTGTTCTGGTTTAAAATAAAATAATCTCAATACTTAATAGTAGAACAATTTGCGGTTCAAAACAATAATAATATTCACCNCTTAAAAGTTTAATCGTCAGTTACGTGTTTGTAAAGGGTGTTCCAAAAATCATGCAAGAAGTACCTAATTTTGATAGAAAACACATTTTTTTAATTAAAAATTGTAAATTTTTTATTGATTCATAAACAATATAGGATTATTATGGAAAATGTCCATGACCGTTTTGCATAAATGTCGTGGAATTTCGTTGATACAGTGCACAATTTCTCCCTTCAAGGCGTGGATGGTCGAAAACAGTCCAACGGCGATAAATCACATGATCTGGGTGGCCAATTTTGATCATCAAAACGGGAAATTACACGAAAATAACTCATGCAGTAAATGAATTGTTTCTCGGGATGTATGGCATCTGACACCGTCTTGTTGAAATCAAACGTCGATTACATCCATATTTTGCAATTTAGGCACAAAAAAACAGGATTATCATGTTCCGATAGGGAGCACCTTTAATTGTTATTGCCTGATCAGACCCATTTTCGAAGAATAGTCCGATGGTACCTTCAGACCAAAATCCGCACCAAACAGTGACACGTTGTGGATGCATTTATTTCTCAACAATCACTCGTGGATTTTCTCAACCCTAAATGCGACAATTTTATCGATTAACAGAGAAGAAATAGGTCTCATCACTGAAGATGATTTTGTTAAAAAAATCAGTATCCTCTTGTTCAAATAAATACCTTGTATTCTTGTTGCTCTAATATTATCCATTCCTAACACGTAAACATAGCCGCTATAGAAAGATTTTACTACTTCTATATTATAATTAGGATTGTTATTTCAAGTGGTCTCTTTGAAAATGGAATTAGTAGGTTTTTTTTCAAAGGGGGAGTGTCAATTATGATGGTTTTCGCCCCCCTTTATTTTTGACCAAAAACTAGATTTTTTTTTAATATTTATATCCAATAACTAATCGATTCCACCCCAAACGGGACCTCCCCCCTCCTACCTAGTCAGGATCAAGGTCAATTAAAGGTCATATAGAGAAAAAGTGCATTAAATCAAAGGATCTCGGAGTTTAGGTTTTTTGGATCCCTTAGTCCGAATCGAAGGTTTGTTTCAGGGTCATATCAAGGTCAAATTAAGAAAAAACCGAGAAATCGATTACTGTTTTTGAAGTCTCTGAGTTTGAATCCAAGGTCCAATTATATGACGACTTAGTCATCCACTACTTGATTTGTGTCGATTAGCTTCATATGCAACGAAGGTAAGGAGGATTAGCCAAGTTTTAGGCCAAGAGCTTACCCATGTGAAATCCTACAACCTTTGTACAGGTCATTTTTGTATCAAATAAGTAGTTTTCGAGATAAAAGATCTGTTCATTTGCTCCTTCAGATGAACTTTCAATTTGACCCTGAAATTACCTTGATACGACCTTTAAATGACCTGATACAGACAAACTAACTTCGGATTCTAACCCAGCGGTCCCAAAATCCTGTATAACAGGTGGTCGGATTTGATTGCTCGGTATTTTCTTAATTTGACCTTGATATGACCTTGAAACAAACCTTCGATTCGGACTGAGGGATCCAAAAAACCTAAACTCCGAGATCCTTGGATGTAATGCACTTTTTCTCAATCTGACCTCTAATTGACTGATCCTGACTAAGTAGGAGGATGGGGTCCCGTTTGGGATAAATAATAAAAAAAAATTTGTTTTTTGGTCGAAAATAAAGGGGGCTAAAAACCGGCCTAATAGACCTCCTTTTGTTAACTTGTCAACTGTAAGTTATTTTGAAGATAATTTTATTTCGAAACGTGACAAAAAGTTGTAGCAGAATATCTTCAAACTTTCTGTTCATTACAAAGTCGTAGCTGCAAAGCTTGTTACAACCACAGTTCTACCAAAATATACTGCAAAACTATGACAACTAAACTGTAAATGAAATTTGTAACATAAGTATGTTACTGATTAAGCGTTTTATTAGTTCATTTCTATAATTTAAAAGACTAGCAACAACTTTCTTAGTATATTCACTACAAGCAGCAAGCATGTAACTGAACATTAATAACTGGAACAGTTTTTTTATATAAATATTCTGTTTCAGTCACGATAGCAGTTTAATTTAAATCATAGGTTCATGTCAGGTAAACTTATTGTTTATATTACATATTTCCAATTACCTCATCTAATCATCTATAATATTATTTGTTGTTGTTTGTTCTGGTTTAAAATAAAATAATCTCAATACTTAATAGTAGAACAATTTGCGGTTCAAAACAATAATAATATTCACCTTGCACTGAATCAATTTTAAATTGCTGAAATTTTTTTTAACAGCTTTTTGAAAAAATATCGCTAGTTTAGATGCAGATTTTTTTTATTTTTCATGTTTAAAAGATAATTGTTATGAAATTTAAATTACCAGATACATTTAAAAATGGCGATTTTAATAAATTCAATTTCATAGATCGTTATTTTTGTATCAATTTAAGAAAATGTTAATCTTTGTTAAAAAATTTTAAGACGAATTCCGAAGTTCAATTGATGCGTTCTGAAATAAATCTAGAAAAAGCGTTGCCCTTTTTTATAGTCCTCTTTATTGACAAACGATTATCAACTTACTTAAAAATGGGAAAATACATAAAACGGGATAGATAACAGCACTAACACAATAATAATTTCAATTAGTTAATCACTTCTGAGAGCAAAAGCAGTGGAAGAACATTCAGTTTCCAGGTGCATAGATAATAAGTTCATGCGATATACTCTCTAATTAATAGGCACTCATCTTATTAAAAACCTCATTAAAACTAAGATACTGTTGGAATATGATTTTGTTGCATAATTCAGTATAGTACGTCCAATAAAGAGTGAATACGATAGTTGTTGGTAGTTACACACGAAAGTGCATCACAGTTTTCATAGCAAGGATTACTTATCTATTTAAATTAATAATTGTATTCTGTATTCAAAGAGCAATAAGAATAAGGATCGAAATAATTGGAAAAATGTTGTGTTTTTTAAATCTAACTTGTTTATTTTCATATGTCATGTTTTTGTCGGTCTTTTTTGGTAAGTCTAATTGTAAATCTTTTTTATTTCTTGCCTACAATTGTTTTATGTACTGACGTTAAGACACGTTTAAGAGGGCCCTGTAGCAAATAGGCAACCAACAATACATTTTTATAGATTTTACTGCACAATTTGTCTAATGCACAAATTACAGACTTTACCCCATTTTAACGCAGATTTTCTATAAAATAGACTTAATTTGAAACTCAAATAAGTTTTTGGTGTAAAGAAATTTGGAATTTACGATGTCGCTTCTTCAAAAGCGGCAAATTACAAATTGCTGATTGCCTATTTGTTATAGAGTCCCCTTAACTTCAAATTTCAGTTTCAGGTGAGATGTCTGGTGGCTGTATGGCCCCGGTAACTAGATGGAAATAGAAAGAAATGTCCTGCAAGCGTCATGGCTGCTCCTGACGCTGTTCGCCGTCGTTCAGATGACAAAATCGACAGATGTTAGCATGGGCTCGAACCTCCACATTACAAGGCACAACAATGGCGACATATTCGCGGAAAACATGAGTAAGTTTGGAATAATAATTTTACAAGATGTTATTCACTTTTATCCCAGTTTATCTCAGTTGTTATTAAAGAGAGAAGGATATTTTGGGTGATCTTTTGTTGGACCTTTTTAAAAATGTCGACAGACTTTTTTGCGTAAAATCCAGTAGGTAGGTAATAGTTTTTAATAATGCTAACAGTTTTAGGGTAACAGATTAAAGTTGCAATTTTTATACGAAAAGTTTATTGTTAAAAAAGGGGTCCTGCGGTTTTCAAAAATATACAGTTTGTAAGTAAATTGTATAAGGACTAATTATTAAATTTTATTGTAATAATAGTTATTTATTGTATGTGTTTTAAGTAGCATTTTATCCACGTAAGAATGTTTAAATGCAAGAACGTAGTTCGACCGTTTAATATTCTTAAATGGATAAAAGGCAATTAAAACACGAATGCAATACAACGTTTTATAATTTGTGGAATCAGAATTATTGAAATTTAATAAAAATATATTCGTACGACTTGATATTTCTTACTAGTAGGTACTCAATGAAACGTGGTAGGTTTTGTTATATCTACTGGTTGCTATGGTACGCTGTTTATTATTAATTAATTAATGAACGGTTCTATCTGAATTTGGTAAAAATGCAAGAAAGTATGTAATTGTGTTCCTGTGGCTGTTTTTGAAAAAGCTCAAAAAGCAATTTTCCATTTATTGCCAGCGAAATCCAGACAACAGTACGAAAAAGTGTTCGCCGAATTTAACGAATGGAAGGAAAAACGGAGAGTAATGACAATAAATGAAGAAGTCATGCTATCGTATTTTTTAAATAGAAGAAAAAATATGCAATTTTATCTACGTGGTCGAAGTATTCGATGTTGAAGGCTACTATAAAGGTCTACAAAAATATAGATATTGGAAAATAAAATAAGCTTACTGCTTATTTGAAGGGCGAATCGAGAGGATACAAAGCAAAAAAAGGTGCAGTATTGGAAAGAACACGTGTTGAAGAATTTTTGACTGAGGCTTCCGATAAAGAATATTTAATGATTAGGGCAATATCTCTTTACCTTTTGCATGTTGTTAGGTATACAGTCCATTGAAATGTTACATTTTTTTGGGCTTAGCGTGCAAAAGTCAGAGCACGCAATTTTATTTTTTATATGTCAAGAGGGGGTTAGTGTAGAGTTAAATCCATGTTTGTGGGGTCGTAACCCTTGTGCATCGGCCGCCATCTTGTAAAAAGGGCTGCGAATGGTTTTCATACTACTACTTACTATATCGGGCAAACTATTCGTTACACAGAAAATTTGTAAATGCATTTTTTGTTGCAAATTAAATTCTCTATAAATAATATAACAAAGTTATTAACGAAAATATATAAAAATTTGGGAACGAATTTTCTTTTGGTCGTTATAACTTTTTTTCTGGTAATTTTACAGAAAAATTACATCAGGGGTTTTCAAGGAATGATTTCCATTACAAAACTTTTTTCAAATTTTATTTATTTATTAGGGTTTTACAGCAATGCGAAACTTATACTATTCTCCAGTACTAGTAAGTATACATTAATATGAATGATTACGCATAGTTTTCTCTAATCTTTCCATTATTTTTATAAGAAACATTTTAATGATTGACATTGCAATATTGTTAATTAGTTATTGACTCTTTTCCCCACCCCCTACGAGGTAGAGTCTGGTGGCGCGTTTTTTTTACGTCTATCCCTAGTAAGCAGAATCCACGGACATTTTCTAGCTGACATAATAATTAGTGAAATTAAAAATATCGAAATATATTTCCCAATCTACTGTGTCCTCAGTTTCTTTGATGGGCCAGGCTGCGACTCAGGATCTGGTTGAGCTTCCGATATTGAATTGTTGAGGAAGGATGGAGAATGAAGTGGCGTCATTGTTGGCAGTTCATCTTCAAAATCATTCTGTTCGATCAATTTTGATATCTCCATTATGTTGCTGCATGTCTCCCCAGAACAATTCAGATACACTGCAGAACATTTGGGCCTGCCTTGGGACATAGTTGCTTCATTCCTGAATATTGCAAATTCAGAGGCATATGCTGGCCATTGTATGAGGCGCACTTCAACAACTTTATTGGCCAATAAAGGTGTTGATCAACCATCAAACGGCATGGTGGATGGAAGAGCTCCTCTGTAGCAGAAAGTTATGTTGGGGAGTGTATATCCAAAAACTTGATGTTGCAAGGAAAATGTAGCTGTTCCTTTCAAGAAGAGACATCCGTACCTTGTGCAAATTCTTCACAAACTTCGACAAATGTTATACGTTCCGAAAATGATGGCAATAATGCTACAAGGGTTGTTATTAACGGAAAGGAAGTTAAATAAATTACTAGTTCTAAATAAAGCTACTTTATTCCACTGGTGGATAAAGTATATCACTTTAGATGGTCTATGTGTGGATAAAAGTCCAATTCTAAGGTGATTGCGGATAAAAGTAATAAATATTTTTGTGACGCAAATAGGGATACTCGATACGATACGATACCGATATATTTGTAAATTATCGATATCGTATTGAATCATGATTGAATTTATCGTCTTGTATTGATATCGACGATATTATTTTTGTAATTGTTATATATATGTAAACATTTATTGTTTGTATTTAAAAGCAATGGAATGCGAGAAAAAGTATCCAGTTTTTTGTACCGACACTATCGCTTCCTTGCTAGCCACCAATACAGTATGTAGTAGGTTTTTGAACAATAAACGGGGTTTAATAAACTAATAACGAGTTTTGTTTCTAAAGTTGTTTTTGGCTATTCACATTAATACCAAAACATAACAGTAATATTATCGTATCGATGTTGATTTCAATACGATATTCAATATTTATTGGTATAAAATAGTTGAAATTTATTTTTTTTACTAGAAAAATTAAAATTATACCAAATTCGAAAGTATAACATTTATATTAATTTATTTACTTAATTTGAATGAACATACAAGCTAAGATATAATATAAAAAAAGTAAAAATATCTATAAAATATTTTATGAAGACAAGAACAAAAAACTTATTAACATTAACTTGCAAATTTCTTTTTTCAAGGAACTTTTCATCCACCTATTGATTAAAATTAGAGCCTGAGCACTTTCATCCATTAAAAAACAAATATTTTTAGTTGTAACTAAACCTGCTTCTGAGAATAGTCTCTCTACAGGTACCGAAGTTGCAGGTAAACACAGAATATCTCGTGCCATGCGCGATAATATTGGATACTCGTGATTGAAATTTCTCCACCATACTAAAACATCAATTTCTGCTCCTGATCTTGGAGAGACCAAATATTGAATTATCTCTTTTTCCCACCTCAAAGAAACTTCTGGTTTTACAAATAGTACATTAAAATCCATTTCATCATTATGACGAGATTTTGTTTACAAATACGTATTTTCTTTTTTGTAGATATTGTTTTATATATTCATTTTGTGCGATTCGCGCTTTTGTCGAGATCAATATTATTCGATATTATTGACAACACATTATTGACGATACAATAATTATCGTCAATATTTTAAAAATTAATATCGTATTCTTGCAAATATCGTCAAAGAGAGTATTGTATGACATCGTATCGAAAATCGATACGATATCGATATTTTTATTGAATATCGGGAAGCCCTAGCCCTAGACGCAAATACTTTTTAATTGTAATAGTTTGTTGCATGCAACGGAAAACCATAACAATATAGTAACAACAAGTTTAACAAGGCATTTTTTTTTCATGTACTTGCAAGTCTATACATATTCCCGATCTGATGATTGTAGCCGCAGCTACCGTCAATCGATCGATATGCAAAGGGGCATTCCCGTAAGGCGTCTTTTATTATTTTCGCACCCGGCACCCATTAGGCTTATCTAGAGTTATGCGAGTAACGGCACTAGACGAGCTGGAACAGACCCATTAATTAAGAATGGAATGGTATGTACAACCTCCGATACAAATTTTATTAAAATGCTGTTGTATATCATTTCCGAATGAACCGCTTGTTAAGGTTTTTTGCTTATGTAGGGCAAGGTAAGGCGTAGTCTAGGTGTGAACTTGGATAACATCGGTTATTAAGAGAACTAAAATCATAAATTCCTCATATGTAACGATTAGATTGGTTATAGTACGTAATTTTCATACCTTATTACCAGTAGTCTGAAAATTGAATTGTTTCACGTTCAGTAATTGAAACGTTGTGGTTTTTGAAACTAGAAAAATAATCAGAACGAGCATCTGGATATCAGAAGTTTACTCATGGGATTCCATTTTATTTAAGTAATTTTGCACCGCATAGAAGGATGCAGTGAAATTACAACAATTAAAATAGGTTACATCGCAAAAAATATTTCTCTAAAATTACAATAGACTTAACTGATTTTACATTTAAAGTAGATTAAAAACTTGACAAATTTATTATTTATTCTGAGTACGACTGCCCAAACTACCAATTATAGAGCAGGAAAATATATGAATTAAAATTAATACAGTAACAAAAAAACATCGACTTACAAACTAATTACACATCAACAAAACAATATAATATAAACAATATAATATATAAAATGTTCATGTAAATTTGAACTTATTTTAGAATATTAGCAGAACAATTAATATTGCCAAATTGCCAAGTATGATTGGTAACTCTTATAATTAAAGCATATTTTATAAATAGGAGAATTTTTAAGTACACTGTAAAAACACTTCACTCAATTTCAGAGAATATTGAAAATTATTATTTCAAACAATATACATATTCTAACAATATTGCATTGATATTAGTGGAATCTGTTTATATTAAAGAAAAACACAAGTATTCTTCTTTTACTCGAAGGACCTTATACATTTATATTAACACGAGTTGCTAGATGCTCTGTCTTAAGCGGCCTACACACGGGTCAATCTGCAGGGACCAATTTGTAGGGTGTTAGAGTGGGGGAAATTGGGTATGACTCTCCACACGGTCCAATCGGTCAGTATGGGAATTTGTACCAT